GGCGATTTCTTCTTCCTCTGCGTGGCCACAAAGCTCTCTCTTGTCCAAAGAACACGGGAGAGTTGGGAGGGGTTCTTGCAGTCTCCAGCCCCCAGGATGCACAGCCCCAGAGCCCTTCTGCCTTCCCCCAGCCCTGGCTCAGTATCTCCTATTTCAGATGGGGCAGCTTGGAAGGGTGGGGTGGGGCTTCCTAGGAGAAAGCGGCGACAAGTAGAATCTGTTCATCTCTGAACCTGGTGGGAAACTGGATCAAACCAAATTATCTCTGTAGAATCTGCAACTCCGTGACTGAGTCCTTACTGGGCATCAGGTCCTTAACGCGTATTCTACCGGAATAGCCATTTTACCGAAGAGCACGGATCAGTGCTCAAGCCCAGATCGGCCTCCAGAGTTGGCGCCCTGGTGGGATTTTGCCAGCTGCATTCATTCTGGGGCCTGAGGGGCACCAGCTCCGAGGTATCATCTTGTTGTGTCCTGTGGTCTTATTCCTTTTGCTGCAGCATCATGGCCTTGGACCCCAAGCATTTTCCCATCTCCCTGTTCTCTGGCTTCCCTCTCATGTGACTTAGGGACATAAATGACCTCAGTGGGGCAGTCCTGAGTTTTTATAACCCTGACCTCCCAGAGACCTTGCTAGGGTGAAATGTGGGGCCCGTGGGTCTGCAATGGTTGGATTCAGATCAGAGAAGCACTGGGCGGGGAATGGGGGAGCCTTGGGTCCAGAAATAGTGTGGCCTTAGCCTGCCAGGGGGCCTAGGGAGCAGCCAAGCTTGGAGGTGGCATGAGGGGGTGTAGCTTCTCTGCCAAGAATCCCTCATCCTCTAGGGACACCCAGTTCTCCCCTCTGCCCCTGCAGGTGTCTAATAAAAGCCTTGGGGCTTGTTTTATAAGTGCTTTATTGAGATATGATTCACATACCATAAAGTGTGCCATTCAATGGCTCTCGTCTATCCATGGAGTTGTAGCACCATTGCCACTAATCTCAGAAGGTTTTCACCTCCTGAAGGAAGCCCTGTACCCACTAGCATCACTCCCCCATTGTCCTCCATGCCCCAGCCCCAGCTCTGGCAATCACTCATCTGCTTTGTAGGTTTGCTCATTCCGGACATTTCACATAAGAGGAATCGCATAATATGCGGCCTTGTGTCTGGTTTCCTCCACCGAGCATGCTTCTAAGCTTCATCCACGCTGCTTCATGTAGCGGGAGATCGTTCCTTTTGAGGCCAGGAATGCCCCCAGTACAGTTATACAGTTGGTCTATCTGTTCACTTGTTGATGGTGATGGGTTTGTTTTTAAGCCCCTGCTGAGATGTTTTCCAGGGCTCCAAAACAGGCCCTGAGGGACAGCAATGCTGAGTGGGTCCCTCCCTGATCAGCCGTTTCAGGGTCCAGGCCTGAGCAGGGCACACCCCGGTTGACGTCTGGCTGCAGAGAGTGGGACCCGAGAGCCAGGCCTGCAGGAGGCAGGTCCTCACACCTCTGCGCTCACCCCTTTCCTGCTGCTCAGGCCCATCTCTCACTCCCCTCCCAGGACCCTAACTGGGTAGAGCGGGAAGTCTTCTGGAGCCGACCCGCTAGGAAAATCTATTTGCATGGCAAAGGCCCAGCGTTTTAGGATAGGGAATTAAAGTGATTAGCAAGTCTTTTCACAGATAAATGGGGCTCATTGGCCAGCCCACTTCCCTGCGGAGGGCCTCTCCTCCTGCTCCCAGCCCTGAGCGGACCACTGTTTATTAGCACCTGGGTGTGAATTTTCATTAACAAGTCCCTGCTAATAGCAGCCGAGTCACAGGACTGGAGATAGAAAGGGGACACCTCCCACTGCTCCAGTGACTCCATGCCCCTTCCTGGCCCAACCCCATCTTGCACGCAGAAGAAACCCTGCCTGGTTCACAGAGAGGACTACAGTAGCCAGTGTCTGGACAGGCACCCATGCCAGATGATAGGGAAGCCTCTCAGCACACCTGCGAGGCAGCCTGTCACAGGCGATCTTAAGCATGGGAAAATCAAGGGAGGGAGAGGCTGATGTGCCCACACAGACGCCAACTGGCAGCATTGAGATTTGGACCCAGGTATGAGACTGTTTAACCACCAGGGGCACTTTGCTAGGGTTGAACACCAGCTTGTCTCAAGAGCACGAGAGGCTCCCTATGAATGCCCCGCCCCCCTCTGCCCCCAGCTCTGCCCAAACATGAGGACAAGGGGATGTGGCCTGGCGCTGGCAGCACATGCCTCTGCAGAATGTGGAGCTGGTGCCCCTCCTCTTCTGGGGGGCGCATTGCTCTCCGAAGCCCTGGCGGTGTGCCCTGGTCTGGAGCAGTCTGGGCCCAGGCCCAGAGCAGTGTGGAGGTGGGAGGCAGAAGGTCTGCACTAGCACAGGGGCACCCCTGGAGCCAGGCTGCCCTCTAGCCACTTCTGGCCCCCGGCCACCCTCCTCCCTCAGAGCTGCTTCTGCAGTGCAACCTAGTCAGGGTGCAACAGTGGACCAGGCTGTGTGCTCTGGGCTTGGAGCTTGCCCTCTGATTTCCACTCACTTTAGCAGAGCTGCTGGCGAGGCGGGTAGGTATGTGCCATGCCTATTTTACAGATCAGAAGCAGAAGACCAGAGAGCTCAAGGAACCTTCCACAAAGCTGGTGCATGGATTTTGGGCAAGGGGACGGCTGTGAGTGGGTGGTTGGCAAATCCTGTCTTTGGAAAAGCTCTGACAGGCAAGTGTGCGTGTGTGTGTGTGTGTGTGTGTGTGTGTGTGTGTGTGTGGAGAGGGGTGGTAGAATAGATTTCCTAATGCACACTGGCCACCAGCGCCATCACCAGGAGGAACCTGCATCTGCTTGCTGACCACATATGCTGCTTCATGACAAGATAGAAAGTCATTGGTCCAGTGTGGATGCAGATGACGACGGACTAACATTTGGAGGAGCAGTTCAGCTGATGGCTGCATATCCAAACAATTTATTCAAGGACGTGCCAAGGTCACATTTGAACACGGGGTAGAGGAAGAGGGGTGGTGGGCAGTAGTCCGTATCAGTAGACAACAGATTGTCCCTGGAGCAGGCCTGGAGAGCTCAACTCGGTGGGATGGGTGGTGTACCTGGAGAGGGCCAAGCCCAGACCAGCAAACCTCGGACCACGGTCCTTGGCCACATGCTGCTGATCACAAGTCCATCTGAGGGCACATGGATGCCCAGGGTTCTGCCTTGCTGGGGCTGCACGGGGCTGGGTCTAAGCTGGCCTGGTCTAACTGCAAAGGCCCCGCTTGCCCCAGGCCAGGCAGAAGCTACTCTGTTCAAGCGCTGGCCCTGTGTGTGCAGCCCTGAGTGAGCACGCCTCCACAGATTCCACACTGGGTGTGTTTGCCTCATCCTAGTCCCTATGGTCCCCTGAGAAGACATAAGGTTTTTGGTGTTTCTAAGGGACTCTATCATCCTGGGGCAAGGACCTCTCTATCCTGGGGATGCACAGGCCTGAGGTGGCTGGAACCTTGGCTGCCCAGCCTCCCAGCGGGGAGCCCAGGCCTAGTGCTGGCCTTGCCAGGCCCAGCATCCTTATCCCCCGCCCTGCTCGTGGGACTCTGCACGAGAGGCTCCCTGTGAATGCCCCAGCCCCCCTCTGCCCCCAGCTCTGCCCAAACAAGAAGACAAGGGGATGTGGCCTGGCGTTGGCAGCACATGCCTCTGCAGAGTGTGGAGCTGGTGCCCCTCCTCTTCTGCCGGGGCAGGGCGCCTCTGTCGCTCTGCCTGCTCAGCAACCCTCCTCCCCACTGTGGCCCTGTCACTTTCCTTTCTTCAGACCTCTCTTCCCGTGTCAGGCCTTGGTGGCATGACCTCCCCTCTGCACAGAGCCAGAGTGAGTGGTCAGAAGTGAGACCACACTAGGCCCATGAGGAGCAGGCTTAGGGCTTTGCTGGAACCATTGAGAGAGGGACATCTCCTGTGGGTGCTGCCAGCGGCCACCCCAGCAGAAGGCCTACCTGGAAGGGGGGTTAGAGCTGGAGAGAGACTCCAGATGTGATTCCAACACCTGGGTCCAGCTACACCACAGGCAGCACTCTTGGACGTCTAAGTTATCTAAGCTCTCAGCTGAGTAACCCAAGCCTCAATTTCCCTCCTGCAAAATGGGGGTAATTGTATATCTACATTTCACGAGGTTATTTAAGGCTTCAACACAAAATACACAAGTTGCAGAAATGTTCCCTGTCACCTTCAGGTGGTGTGAAGGCAAAAACCACCTTCCTCAACTCTCCTTCCATCTCAAGGGAGTTGCCATGGGGCCTGCTGTGTAGAGGAAAGGGATTATGCTAACAGCCATGGGTGGAAGGAGAGGGCAGAGTCTCTGGTGGGGACGCTTTCTTCCAAGAGGACATTCAGCCGGTTAGCATCAGCCTCATTAGGGAGGTGCTGGGCCGACGAGGACTGTGGGGTGTGACCCGAGGAAGCAGCCACCACCAGCCCTGCGTGCAGTCAGCGTTCCTGGGCAGTTTCTCATATGGGAGGCTGGGCGGGCCTAAGGTGGGCTGGGACATGTTCACCACCTCGGTTCTCAAAGGCACCACACGGTGTCCTCAGAGAGGCAGCCATGTCCCTTGAGCTGCTGGGCAGCCCCCGTCTAGTTTTCCCAGAAGGGCAGTTTCTGGAGGAGAACAAGGCAACTGTGTACCCCTGTCCCAGGTCCCCAGGCCCCCCAGCCCTCTCAGGCCAGGGACAGCATCAGCCAGCTCCTGCCTGCCCCCCATCCCCCTGCACTCCCCCCACACTGGTGTGACCAACCAGCGCCTCGGCTCTTTTGTGAAGATGCGACCCAGCACGGAGAAGGAGAAGTGGGTGGAGGGGACAAGGGCACACCGTAGCTGGTGGGCTGGGCGTTCACCCACTTGAGGACAGCGGCCCTCCAGGGCCTCGGAGGTGGGTGGTCCTCGCCAGGTCTGGGACTCTGGTGGAAACCACAGCTGGGCCTCCTGGGCCCGGGCTGGGTAAGAATAACAGCTTGCATGCCATAGCACTTGGGAGTCTGGGAACGATATTGCTGTTTATTTGGCGACACATCAGCCCACCCGAGGGCTCTGACAAGAGGTTTAGTGGTTCAGGGTCCCCAAAAGATAACTTTCCCCTTGCTGGCTCTGCAGAGATCCCAGACTGCAAGTCCAGGCCCCAAGCTGTGGCTCTTCCTCGGTGTCTCTTTGTCTTAGGGTGTCCTGAGAGTGGCTGCTTGGTGACTGAATCCTTTTCAGGGACCCTAGTGGTGGGAGCTCACTTCTTGAGGCTCTCTCTCTGGAGCAGCAGGGAGTACCTCCGGAGCCGAGTCCAGTGGTCCTGCTCTTTCCCCGGGATCTTCTCCAGCTTCTGAAAGCTGAGGCCCAGAGACCATGAGGAGAGGAACCCCCCCACCTCCCAGTCCAGGCTCCAGCGAAGGCCTGACCAACTGTGCTGACAGGAGAAGCACACTGCTCCATTTCTGTCCTCCAGAGTTGGCTGGGACACAGCCAGCATGCAGAAAGCCTTTCTGGAAGGAATGCCAGGTCTAGCATTCCAGCCCATGAGGTGCACATCGGTAGACAGGATAGTGAACTGAGGAACCAAAAGTCCATTTGCAAACAAGATGTGCTATGTCCACACAACGGAGCATTCAGGCTTAACAAGGAACAAAATGGACACAGGCTACAACATGGATGAGCCTTGAGATATTGTGCTGAGTGAAAGAAGCCAGTCAGGCCCAGCACAGTGGCTCGCACCTGTGATCCCAGCACTTTGAGAGGTTGAGAGAGAGGATTGCCTGAGTCCAGGGGTTCAAGACCAGCCCGGGCAACTTGGCAAGACCTCATCTCCACAATAAATCAAAAAATTAGCCAGGCAAGGCTACTTGGAAGACTGAGGTGGAAGAATTGCCCAGCAGGTCAAGGCTGGGGTGGTCGTGAACATGTCACTGCACTCCAGCCTGGGTGACAGAGACCCTGACTCAAAAAGTAAAAAGAAAGAAAGAAAGAAAGAAGGAAGGAAGGAAGGAAGGAAGGAAGGAAGGAAGGAAGGAAGGAAGGAAGGAAGGAAGAAAGAAAAGAAAGAAGTCAGTTACAAAAAGATAACTGCCGTGGGACTCCACTTTTATAAAGACGCTTGATTTGGGGCTTTTAAAAAGTAAAAGTTAGCCGGGCTCGGTGGCTCAGCCTGTAATCCTGCGGCTTTGGGAGGCTGAGGTGAGTGGATTGCCTGAGCCTGCAGGTTTGAGACCCGCCTGGGCAGCGAGGCCTCATCTCTACAATAAATCAAAAATCAGCTGGGTGTGGTAGCGCATGCCTGTAATTCCGGCTACTTGGAAGGCTGAGG